GCGTTTTCGAATTCGCCTTTTTAGTCTGGACAGGAGGTGCAAACGTAGCAAAGTAGACTGCGAAGCAAGCGCCCACGAAAACATTCTCCTCGGAGACAATAAAGTTTATCTTGGATCTTAGAGAAGATCTTGTCTTCACTGATCTCACTTCTTGTCAATGTCAGTTATGTGTTGGTACTTAAACCGAAGTCGAGGATCTGAATGTGTATTCACGGCTGTCAGTGGGAGGGTGACGCTGCTGCTCGGTGTGCAGATAAGCAACTGTTACAACACATCCACCCCAACGACAAGGTGATGTCCGAGTGGAGTCTTTGTCAGCGTGCTGTGGACTCAAAAACGGATTATTGCTGCTTTACCACAGTGACTTCAAGTGAAATGCTTCTTTTAATGTGATGTTCTGTTATGCAATGAGCATTCAGATCAAATATCCACCTCGCAGGGTCCATCTCACAGAAATTCGCGCTACTTTTTGGGGGCATTTAAACTTCACTTAAGATGGCGATGAGGATTCCCCCGAGAGGAAGTACAAACAGGAAGTCAACGAGAGCTTGCTAAAACCACGAGTCTGAGTCTGAGTGTGTCTGAGGCCATGACATCACTGAATATAGTAAATTGTAGTAAATTTTGTTACTTGGATGTGAGTGTGGCTCTTTCATTACATTTAAGGGCCAACGTGATCAAAGTGTATTTCTGCTCAGATTCTTTTCTTCAGATTTGGCAAATTTTGGCATGCCACAAAAGGCAAGACAGGTTTATCTGTACAGCACATTTCAATTCAAAGTTCTTCACATAAAACAGAAAAGCAACAAAGGGAAATTGAAAAAATAAAACACACATTATAAAAACAGGATAAAAGAGGACAGTAAAAGTTACCAATCTACAGCTTTAATTTAATGAAAGGCAGAAAAGTCTTCAGTCTGAATTTAAAAGAACTGACAGTTTCAGCAGACCTGCAGTTATCTGGGAGTTTGTTCCAGATATACGGAGCATAATAACTGAACGCTGCTTCTCCTTGTTTAGTTTTGACTCTGGGGACAGAAAGCAGACCTGATCCCAGACGACCTGAGAGGTCTGGATGGTTCGTAACGAAGCAGAAATGTATTTGGCCCTAAACCATTTAGTGCTTTATAAACAGCAGGATTTTGAAATCAATTCTTTGACAGACAGGAAGCCAATGTAAAGACCTCAGAACTGGAGTGATGTGATCCACCTTTTTGGTCTTGGTGAGGACTCGAGCAGCAGCGTTCTGAATCAGCTGCAGCTGTCTGGATTTCTTAGGGTAAAGAAGCCACTGTCATTCAGGCCAAAGCTAGAAAACCCGCAAGTGTTTGCAGAGTTGGAAACAGCCTTTAGATTCAGCCACGAGACACGTTTCGCCTGCAGGTGTGACTTTGGGGGTCAGTTTAATAAAAGGCCCGCAGTGTACCGTGGTCTCTGCCGACCCAGTGGCTCAAACGGATTCATTTCAAAGATCACGGCTGTGATAAATACAGACTGTGTTTCTGAGACTGGTTTTTGGGTTTCTGTAGTTTCCTTCATGTCTCTGTGTCTCTGTCTTTCAGTCCAGCATCGTGGTGGAGGTTCCTCCTTACAATAAGAAGACCACGGATCCGGTTCAAGTCCAGTTTTACGTCTCAAACGGGAGGAAAAGAAGAAGTCTAACACAGAACTTCACCTACCTGCCTGCAGTCCGACGTCACCTCCCTGCTGAGGTCAAACAGGAGCGCTGGGAGGCGGACCACAATCCACCTGGCTTCAGTCCGGCCTCCTGCCAGGTGCCCTCCCATGACCAAGTACTCGGCCCAGACGTGGTTTATTATGATTCCTGTGACGTCCCGGTGCATCGCGGTCCTCCTTCCCAGAACGTGCCTCGTCTTCATCACCCCCCTCCCTCCTCTGTCCCCCTGCAGACCCCCTCAATGTTTCTTCCCACGTCCTCAATCCCTCTTCACACCTCCGCCTCGCAGACCTCCTCTGTCCCCCATCAGATCTTGATTCCTCTTCAGGCCTCTTCTGTCCCCCATCAGACCTTCACCATCCCGCCTCAGACCTCCTCCCTCCCTCCCCAGACCGCCTCAGTCTCTCCACAGATCTCTCCTCAAATCTCCGCGATGCCTCCCCAGGCTTCTTCGGCGCCCCTTCAGACCTTCACCGTCCCCCTTTCCACATCCTCTGGTGGACCTCAGAGGGAACACTTTCCATCTCAGAGTTCCTCAAGAGCCTTTGTGACCCCTGCTGACCCCCAGAAGGACACTCTGCTCTCTAGCCCAGGAGAGGCGCAGAGCATCAAGCAGGAGCCTGAAGACCGGCCAAATCTGGGATCCCTGGGCCTCCAGGAGATCACTCTGGATGATGGTAGGAGGCTGGACACATTTATTAATTAACAATCCCCTGTAGGCTTGAAACGTGGATCTGAAAAGTTTGTAGCTTCGTTCTCATGGAGGGCAGGAGCTGTAATCAGCTCGGATTATAATAAGATATAAATAAAAATATAGCTAGAAAAACCACAAAGCAGGTGCCCCCATGTTCACAGAAAGGGGCATAGATCCCCTGAATGTCAAGCTACTCTCCTCCTCTATGGCTGAAACAAGCCTTTAATGTGGTCACAGGATTAAAACTAGACCCTTTACAGTCCACATCAACCCTGGTCCAGACCAGTCAGCCCGGTCTGTCCGTATTGGTCTTGTTATCAGTGATGGAAGCCACTTTTCTTCTGCCACAGCAAAACACTGTGGAGATGCGTGTATAGGTTTTTAGCTTTTCTGCCTTTTCCCCTTGATCACACATGGAATAATAAGTTGAGTCGTGCCCGTCTGACACCTTCCACTAGAGTTGAGTCTTAAATCAATGACTACTAAGTAATTCAAAATGTTTTCACATCAACTTCAAATTCTCAAACTGCACTAACAATATTATTGTCAGTGTGGATTTATATCAGTTTGCCCTTTTTTGACAATCGACAGTGACGAGATACACAGGAAAGCGAGGTGAAGTCTCATTCTGCAGCGTTATCAGTGTTATCGCCCCATCAGATGTGATGGGGGAGGAGCAGGTTTCCTGTCAGCACAGCAAAGATTTGGTGATTTCTGATCCAGGGCTGCATCAAAGGACTTGATTTCAATTTGACTTCTTAAGTACATACTGTAAAATACTATAATAATAAATACAACACGACAGTCATATGGAGCCAGGAACAGTGCTTACTGGGCAATTTTATTTATTTATACATTTATTTAAAAGCACACGGCACATCTTAATGAACACAACAGCTTTTTAGCAATGTAAATGTGCCAGAATTAGCCCGAAGGACAGTTTCCATCTGTCGTCCCCGGCAGGTCGTCTCAAGGTACAAAAATAACACAAGTTTCCAAACAGGGTGCATCTAGTGCGGGACCCCACAACAGGGTGAGAGGGAAGGTGCCCCACTAAAGTGCAAAATTATCAGTGTTTCCCAGAGGATTCTGTCAGACTATGGTGGGGGGACATGGACCCTCTAGGGGGGGTCCGGGAGGCCTTTTTTTAAAGTTAAGTGCATTTATTTGGTGCGCTTTAAAAGCAAAATAAAGAGTCTAGATCTATGAAGAACTTTGTTGTGCCCTAGTAAACAATTTCATCATAAACACACTGTATAGATATAAATGGTGATGAAACGGCAAAAAAGTCAACTTTATTTAATGTAATTTAATCATTTAAAGTTTCTCCAGCAACCCTAAATCAAAGAGTTTCCCTAAAATTTTATTTTACTTTTAATGGACACATGTAACATGTTAAATACTTCCTGTGAATATAATCCCATTAATCTTATTTCCATCCTGTATACGTTGTGTTAACACCTTATTTTGAAAACCGGACTTTGTCGCATGTGTATCCTCGTGCAACATTCACCAACTCCGACACAATTTGATAAATCATATTGTATTTTGTGTTCGTATTGCGTACAATTACGACTTAAAAGCCTCTCTTCAGGTAAAATGACATAATAAATAATAATAAAGCTGCTAACCCTGCCGGTCAGCTCGCCATGCTCCTTTTCACTGATTTACCATAAAGGCTCTAATACATGTGCAATTTAGCCGCTAGCTTGATCACAAAAGAGTGACCGTGGAAACACTCGAACGTTACCGTGATTACCTCCAAAGGAAAGTGCCTTGATTCAGTCGGGTGCCAAAAAATGTGTGAGTGCGCGAGTTTACAGCAGCCAGCGGCGCAAAAGACAACGTTAGAAATCTTTAATGTTAATACATTTTTGGTTCATTTTCAAAATATGGTGAAACAAATTAGACTGTGGCGGGCCGCCATCCTGGGAGCTGGATCTCAGACTCCCATAATCCACATCAGTGGTCTGTGAGTGGCCCTCGTGAGGTGTGTGTCTGTCTGCACTTGCTCTGTGATGTGATAATAATAGCCGTGTCTGCTTGTTGCTGGTCTGAATGATGCAGATGGGGGTTAAATTAGTTGGCGGGCAGCAGCTGTTGTCAGGTCTTTGACCCTCCCGCCTGGACCCCCCCCCCACGCCGCCTTTCAGCTTGACTTTGACCTCAGCAGCCTGATCTAGTGCTGCTGGAGAAATGTCAGCCTCGTCAGCTAACCAGCGTTAGTGCAGCAGTTTTAATGGATATTACTGATTATTGCTGCTCCTGATGCTGATTTGGTGATTTGAAGTCTAAAGGTTTCGTCACAGTCTCCCCTCTCACAGGTTGAACATATGTCCAGGTCACCTAACGAGTGACTCTTCTTTCTCAAATAGTTTTATTAGTTTATCTGAGTCCTGAAGAGATCCGATTAAAAATGAAAGTCTGAAAAGTAAAGATAATTTTATGTAGCAGAACAAAATATTTCCTTCAACTTTTACAGTCTAAACAAGAAGAGCACTCTGAGAGCAGAGACCTCCAATAGTCCAGTTTTATATGACGTGCAAATCTGCAAGTGCAATCACAAATATGTCTGGATTTTAGTCCAAAACTATTGGAATATGTTAAATATTTTTGTGGCCAGCTGAATTAGATTAGATTCAACAAGTACACGAAACGAAATGCCGTTTGCGTCTAACCAGAAGTGCAAACAGAGGAGGCAGAAACTTTACAAGCATTAAGTACATGTGTCCAAGTGGAATGTTTAGATGTGCAAAACATGTGGCAAATGTAAATGTGCAGTGGAAAACTTACAAGTATAATGTATGTTCAAGTGGGGTACATAGTGTGCGGGTGCATCTCTCAGTGGCATTCTGAATTTGCAATCGTTGCAAATTGAAGGAGCAGGGCAGCATGTGCAACTGAGATGCAGGGATAGCAGCAGTGAGGTTCCCGTGGTTAGATATGTGACTGTAGTGATTGAAAAAAGCAAGTACAGTGGCGGCGCTAAATGTGCAATGAGGGCAAGTTTAAGCATGTGCAGATGAAATGCAGAATTAGCAGCACTGACACGTACCTGTAGACAACTGAAACCTTCCTTATGACACTGGTAGGTGGAGAGAAACTGTTCCTGAGCCTTTGGTGCGAGAACGGAGAGGCCTGCACGGCCTGCCTGATTGGAAAAGGGCAAAGAGATTGTGGCTTGGATGTGAAGGGTCCCTGGTGATGCCGTACGCAGCGACCGCTTGCGCTGGAGGTCTTCTGTGGCCGGGAGCCCGTGAAGTGCTGGGTGGTTTTCACCGTCTGTTGTAGGGTCTTCCGGTCGGCTACAAAGCAACCGCTAAACCACATTGTGGCACAGATAGTCAGAATCAGTTGTAGTGAATCATCTCAGCTGCGCATTTATTTTGTACTTTGCTCATGTCAAAATCCAAAAATCCAGAATAATCCGGAAATATCACATCCCTGATTGCTTATTTCTTAGATACCTGCTGCATTTGTTTGTACAGAGATGTTTGAAGATGTTTTGCTGTAAGTTTAGTCACGGCACACTTTTCACTTTATTTTTTCACTTTCACCTCCCTTTGAATTAAGTTTTGACACCTTGATTTTTTTCTGTTTTGTATATTTGTTGTGTATCCTGAGTTTGGAAACACTTTATTCAACTACAGTTGTTTGTTTTAATGTGCTATAAAAATAAATTGGAACTTGACCTTGAACTTGACCTTGAACAGGTTCTTGCATGCGCCAATGCCCTTCACTTAGCAGTGTAATTAATTTGTTCACCCTGGGGTTCTTCCTTGGCCCCTGCTACAGCCTTCCACCAAGTTTCACGAAAATCAGACCAATAATGTTTCCACAAAAACATGACCTCCTTGGCGGCGGTAACAAATGTGAGTCTGCAGCCATGCTGGCGGCTAACATCAACATGCTAACATGCTGATGTTTACCATGCTAACAATTGCTACTTAGCACTAAACATAAGGTGCACAAAGGAATGTCAGTAGTTCTGCAGGTATTTTGTCATAAACCAAAGTGTTGGACGAATTTCATTGTTGACCTGATGATGGCGCTAGATGAAAAGTCATCTGGAGGGGAAGATTTATGGTTGAACCAGATTTCATGTCAATCCATCCAACAGTCGAGACATTTCACTAAGCACTAACCAGTGAAGCTTCTGGAGACTAACGGTTGTATTTCAGTTTGGGAGGAAAGTCAACATCCAAAAAACTAACAACCAAATTTAGCCCAGTTTCAAACAAAAACAGCAGATCACCATCCACAGTTACTATTATCACTAATCCTACAGAGGCTACTTCAACAGGTACTGTTACTACCAATATTACTGTGTGGGAAACAGTTGATAAAGCAGCTTACTGCTTCGTTAACGCTCCAAAGTGTCATATTTAGGAAAATCTACTGAAAGAAATACAATATGAGATCCATAACTGTGTTTTCAGTGGTGTGTAAAGACCTGACATAATGAACCGTTGTGATTTTATTACCTTAGAATGAGACATTTCCATCTACGGACACCGCAGGTCCTCTTACATGGAGGTCGTAATGTTGCACCGCCACGTTTCTACAGTAGCCCAAACCGACAAACTGCTCTACAGAGCGCGTTTCCTCACTACGCTGAATACGTCTGAAGAAGAAGAAGTCGACTAGTTTATTAGAAGGAAGAAAAGAAGTGAAATTAAACAAATGGAGCGACAGAGCGTGTCGGCCAACCTAACTTCTCCTGCACGCTGGCAAAGGGAGGGGGGAGCGGGGACTGAGCCGTTGGTTGCAATTAGCAGCTCTCACCACTAGATGCCGCTAAAACCTCCACACTGAACCTTCAAATGACTATTATACTATATTTACCACCGTCACGTTCTGCTAAATGAGCAGATTTGAATTTCCAGGTGGAAACAATTCTCTGCTAACATTATAATTTTAGTTTATGATGCTTCTTAAAACGACACGCTGCTCATGTTTTACAGTATCACTATAGTAGGGTGACCGGACGCCCCCGTCATTTACGTGGTTATAGGCGGTAATAGAAGCCTGTTGTTGCTGATGGATCATGTGTTTGGTGGGCGTGTGTCTAATATACATATTTGGAAAACGGACTGTAGCCTATAATTAACATGACTTACTGTTGAGTTATATATAAAATAAAGATATGATCTCTTTTGCAATTATCCTTATTACTCTACATTATTTAACTGGCTGTGTGCCGACCAGTCCAGTCCTTTTTACCTGTTGAAATACCTTTAAATGGCCAAAACAACCCATAAAAAGCCGTATTCCACTTGCCAGAAAGGGATTGCAGCCTCTAGGCTACTTATTGACTGAAAGCTCGTTTCTGCCTCAAAATGACTTGATTTCGTTCAGAAGAGTTATATTTGACAGATTATAAAACCTAAATTGTCCCCCGTTTTTATTGTATGCATGTATAATGTATACATACCTGTTTTATCTGTATATTGTCTCAGCTTTCCAGAAAGACTGAGGGAGGGCTGTACGAGGAGAACACTGTACATTCAAAACTAAAGCTCGTAGAACAGAAACTAATACAGAGTCAAACCAGGAGACTTGAAGTCTCTGGTCTTGAACGTGGAAACGAGAGAGAAAGAGGGAGTCTTGGGGGGAGAGTGCAGGAAGAAGGCCCTGGAGGTCCAGGTCCTGGAAGTCTTGCTTGGTCCTTGAAAGGGGAGTTTGATCTTTGAGAATGTGATGAGAAAGACTTAGAATTGAATCTGTATGTATATTTTGAAGCTGCCGGTCTGGATCCAGACATGCTGATGAAGTTCAAAGGGCAACAAGCTGGTGAGGAGCTTCAGGTTTCACAGCGGAGCTATGTTTAGACTGAACGGAGCAGAGATGGTGCCATTTGCTGGCCTGCAGACTCAGCAGCTTCACTGCCGTTACTAATAATAATCAACGGTTCTCTCCTCCATGTGTCACACGCTGAAGTACCGGTTTATGATGCGGAGTCACTTCCTAGTGATCGATCGGTTAGTCAGTAATCAGAAGAAGCGGCCAGAACACGTCGCGGGGCTTAAAGACAGTTTCTCTCTTTTACAGCCGAACACAAACCTGTTGAGGTAAATTCATCAGGCACGGAGCGTCATCACAAGTTGTTTCGGAGGACACCAGCTGCTCCCTCCTGTGGCCCAACAACACACTATCTAGGTATTTGTTTCCACCGTGTTGATCACCGTGCAGCTTCTACACCAGCAGAGACGTGTGATGATGCAACGTGAACATCCGAATACATCATGGATTGAAACACTCCAGTCGATTTATCATTCAGTCCGTAAAATGTCAAGAGTGATGTCGACCACACCGCTGGTACTACTACTGTAGTAATATTACTATGCTTTACTTAATACTGCCTCCAACCCTGTTTGGAAAACAGTTCACCAAGTGACTTTCTGCTTTTATTAAATGACTGTAGAAAGAAATAAAAGTGAGCCAGATCCTACTGTTTGCTCACGTAGCCTCAAAGGCAAATTCAAAACCTCTCGACGTTGAAACTGGGAACTAAAACACACAAAATCTATCTAGAAAGCAAAAGTGAAGAATCAGCTGCTGGATGTATTTTTGAGGCTTTCCCAGCATGCACTGGGCAAGAAGCAGGGGACAATGTGGACGGGTCTGAAGCCTTCAAGCTTCGTTATTCTAACCAGCGTAAAAGTGGAATTTGGGGTAACACTGAAACACTTGTTCTGAACGTTTCCATCATGTTTCCAAACATCACTCAGGATTCAGAGAAAGTCCTGCAGCGATCATTAAGGATGATTCATTTAGCCGATATCTGGGATTTTTAAAATAATCTGCGTTGCCGACATCTGCAGACGGCGTCATCAGTGAGTCAGCGACACGTTTCTCCTCCATGACAGCAGCTCTAATCTAACGTATAGTTAGACTGAAGAGAATAAAGCAGCTGAATGACGTCTGAAACTGAAGTCTGCTTCGGTTTCATTCATTTTTACAATAATGGAATTATACTTGACTGTCCTTTGTTTTGATATCGGCATTAAATATCGACCATCAGCTGCTTTTTAAATATCGGCTCCGGCCTTTGATAAACCGCTAAATCAAAACTTTATAAATAATCCTGTCGTTTGCTTCTGTCTTTGTTGCAGTGAATGAAATTATCGACCGAGACATCTGCAGCCTGAGCAGCGGCGCCCAGCCCGACCAGTTTGAACAGTATCAGCGGTACGACTGGGAGCACAAGTCCGGCGACGCTGCCTCGCCGTTCAGCGGAGACCCTCAGTAGCTCCTCAGGAGACGGCCGCAGCGCTTCTTCTTCTTCTGCTGCTGCTGGACAAAACCAACCCGACGGTCACGTTTGCACCAAACTGATCTTCAAAGTGCCTGAACACCAACCAGCCGCCACTGGCGAGTCCGCGGCCTCGTCTCATCAGGGTCAGAGAACGGTTTCCTCGTCAGTCTCAGGAATTTTTTTCCACTGACAAACCAAAGATTTTGTAGCTTTTCACGAGCGAATTGGAAGAAAATCCAACAAAAAGGGCTGTGATTAAAGACTTTAATGTCACGCAGTCACAACAATCATCACAGACGCTGAAGTCACACAACTGTGAGAACATCCTGTCGTTATCTGTTGGCCAATTAATTAAGAAATCTATTTTTGATACTCTGGATCTGGTCCAGTAAAAAACCAAAGTCCTTCAGCTGATCATTTACATTTTTATAGCTTTCACTCTGTACGGTTTACATTTCCTACGCCGACTTTCATAAATGCTGTTCGACCTGAGCTCTTCTTGGTGTGAAGCTTAAGACACTGAATGGTAGAAATGTATCGTGAAGTAAAAAGAAAGGAAAACATTGGATTGTTCTGTGTCCTGATACTTGATTTCATGAACGCTGAGTGACAGATTTTCTCTTTTCTCCTCATGCAGCACGATATTAAAGGCACTTTCACTTCTCAGAGCAGAAACGTTTCATTAGAGGGAGGCCAAAGGTCAGAGCAGCCAACATTAGGCAGCTGCAGGAATGTTATTAAAGGGTAAATCCGCTGTAAATCGCACTGCGGCTGCACGTGTGCAAGTTTTAAAGTCACGCTGACAACATTAAGCACGTGTTCTCCATGTAACCACGAGCTGTAGCGAGAACATGCCACTGCTCTATTTTAGGTGAAACTACCCTTTGAAGTGCTTTAACATTTAATCGTGGGCAGATCATCTTTCCTTCTTCTGGCATCTTTCTCTAGAACCAGGAGCATTTTCTGAGCTCTCTGGCAGACCTGCTGCAGACTGCGAGGTCTCCTCCTGCAGCAAGAAACATTTCAACTCTCAGGCATCATAGTTCACTATATGCTGATTTGAGACGCACCGTGTTTGATCACTTTTACACTTTGAAGAGTGGCGAACAGCGAACAGTGTTTCAGGTCTGCTGTTACTCCTTTAACCTTTATTTATTCAGGGGAGCTTCGAGCCTCTAGCCGTGTTTCCATCAACGGGTTTTAATGCGCATTTCGAAGCATCGCGTTAGAAAAGGTTGATGCAAAAAATAGAGTTTTTGTGCTCGCTTGAGGTGGTTTTTGTGGAAAAAGAGTAAATGCTCTAAACGGGAGATGGAAACACTTTTTCCGAGTAAGTTCTGATGTAGCGAACTCGTAACTCTGTGGCCTTCAGGTTCATGCGACTGGTTTTGTTTCTGGTTTCTACTACTACTTCTTTATTACAGCCACGTGTAATGTCAACTACTGACGTAACTACGCTCGCCGTAGTTACTGTTTCACCTCTGAACACAGCCGCCATCACTAAACTGCACCTGTAACCACACCCAGCAGTGATGTCACAGTGTCCTGGAGTACACGCTGACATCACTGCAGCAAAGTGACTATTAAACCATCGGAGGTCTGCTGTTCTCAGCTCACACCGACTTCTGCTGAACTGAAAAGATTGAAAAACATCTGGAGCTGCTTTGGAAATAAAAGCTGTCCAACTCTTTTCTGAAGATCATTTTCCAGGTCATCCAGCTGCCATGACAGACCGGGATCACGTCACGTCGAGTTCCTCGCTGCGGAGGATGTACAACGATTTAAAGCAAGTTGATGAGAAAACTTTCATTTATAACCAGAACTAACGGCCACAGCGAGCAGCGACTCATATTTACTAATATATTCCAAAGACTGGAAAGCCTGGAAAACAGCTGACTAGTTTTCCAGGCTTTCCAGGACGCGTGTGCATCCACAAGCTCATGCGTTTTCCTTTTTTAATGATCGTTTTTTCTGTTTTAATTATCACAGCTCGGACCCGTTAACCTGCTCGGTCATTTAAAGAGCTGCTGGTCCGGGTCCGTCTGAACGAAGCAGAACTCGTCCACAGCTGATCCTGATCCTGCCGTCCAGCAGCTGGTTTTGCAGGTATAAACCAGCACCGTCCCAAACTCCAGCTCCGACTCAGCGCCGCCGTCCTTCCGCCGCAGCAGACTGACCAGAGCCGGCATCAGCTGCAGCTCAAACGTCCTGGATCCTCCGCAGGAGCCGCACGCCGGAACCACCTGAGCCATGTTGGACGGCGGCTCGGAGATGAAGAGCGGTTTGCCGCCGCGACAGTACCTCAGGATCTGCTGAGGACAGAGCGAGATCTCCTTCATGAACCTGGAGAAGACTGCATCTCCGTGCCGGGCTTTCGTCTTCTCGTACTTCTCCTGCCCGCCGCCGTCCTCGCCGCCCTCCAGCTCCACCACCGCCACTCCTTCTCTCCTCTCGTACTCCCTCAGCAGCTCCTCAGCGTGCTGCAGGTCGACTTCCTCTCCGCCCAGATCCGACTCCTCCGCCACACCGATGAAGAACGGACGGAGGACGGGGACGCCCTGCTGCGAGTCTCCCAAACTGAGATCCCGAAGCTGGCTGCTGACGTCGGCCTCTCCGGCTGCTGGGCGGAAAAATAAATCAAATTCAGCTGGTGTCCAAATAATTCTGGGAAAGAACTTGATTAAATGAGATCAGACAGACGAGGACCCGCGAACTCTGCAGACAACGGGACGGCTTTGACGAGCTGAGTGCAGATAAAGACTTTACGAGCCCGCTTTAATAAATCTGAGCCAACCAAGCGCTTCCTAGATGTTGAAGTCGTTCTTACGCATGAATGATTTCTGACTAGTTAGTAATTAGCATTAAGAAATGAGAGACTAGGGAGAGCGGGGTGATCTGAGCTGAGCCACCCCGTGTTTCTCAGCAACCATCGAACAAATTTGGTCATATGAACACATATTTTTGAAGAGTTATTCACTTTACTCTCTTAAAGGCGATGAGCACATTTAAGATCAAAAAACTGCTTTTTACCATTCAAAGTGATTTTTTTAATGTTCAAGGAGTCGTGATTCTTTTGTCTGAACATTTACAGACAGGTTTGAAATAATCTTACATGTGTTTGAGCTTTAGGAAGTGACAATATGAGGCTATACTGTTAGTTCTTCAACTGCTGGATGACACAAGTTTGTTAAAAAGGCAGGACGGGGTGATTTGAGCCTGAAGACCTGGGGGAAGATGAGCCAGATGTTTAACTGTAATTTGACATTGTATTTTTATGCATCAGCGAAATGATGTGACATTATGCATTTTAGAGCAGAAACCATCATGTCAAGCTTCTATGAATGGAAGACAGACGGGATTCAACTCTCGCAAACGGAAGTGCATTCATCAGGTGATACATGACGATCAGCAGGACGGCTTTAAAGCGATACATCGATATGAAACAAATGGCTGCCATGTTTCACTGCTAAATGCAATTAAATGTTGGGACCTGGCGTTTGAGTTCGCCTGATGAAATGACCTTGATGTCACCGACCCCCATGTTACCCCTCGTATGGGCCAAGCTGAGAGTCCACTTTTGTTGGAAAGCCAACAGTTTATTTCAGATCTAAATTGATTTTCCCCGGGACGCACCACATCCTAAAATACATGTACATATTTTAGTTGGAGACATTACTGTCATGTCCTCACTTTAAACACACCTCAAGTAAAAACCGGCTCAACTCACTCGCTCTCCTCCAACTACCAAGGATTTAATGATAGGAAACAAACTGCAGAAATGAAACCGTTGGAACTGGAATTAACTGTAGTGAAAAGCTATCTGATACAAGAACATCTGAAATTATAATGAATAACATTAGCCCTAAACAAACCGCAGTGGTGAATAGTTCAGTAACAACTGTGAATAGTTACAAATATCCTAAAAAATAATACAACTAATTTGCAGGCAGATATTTGCCAATAAAATGTAACCTATGAATACTGTATATTAACACCATGCAAAAAACTAAACTTATTATTTAATTTTATAATATCATAGGCTACTAATACCCTCATTTGTACTAGTTCTGGGGTCCACATGAGAACAACATTGTTTTATTTTCACTTCAAACACTGATATTAATTATTTATAAATCTTCAAGCAGCTTAAATGTTGAATTAAATCATATTGCTCAACCCTACCCTCTGCTTCAGGAGCTGCTGCCTCCTCTTGAACCTCCTTCGCACCTCCTCCTCCACCCCCCTCCTCCATCCCCCAGTCATCAGCGGTGTCACACCAGTCGGTGGCCGACAGAGGAGGCCCCCGCGCCGGGTTGGGCCCCTGCGCTGCCGCCGCCGCCTCCAGGCCCTGAGAGCGGAGCACCCTCCAACAGTCCGACCTGCCGCTGCACTCGGCCCCTGGGCACGCGAACAGGTGGAGGGTCCTGTGGTAAGGGGAGGCCTCCAGGGGGCAGTACACCTGCACCACGTGGACTAACGGGGCTGCGCAGCGGCCGCACCGCGGATGCTGCCGGGAGACGCCCGGTACGCAGTCCGGCTGACCCCCGACTTTGTTGGTCAGATACGAGGACCGGTGCCTTTTAGGGTCCAGCTCTCCGTCGCACAGCCCGATCAGCGTAACCAGCTCGTGAGCGCGTGAAGCCATCTCTCTGTCACGTGGTGCCTCAGGTCCGTCACCAAAACATCCCCGCGCGCTGGAATCAAAAGACACTTGGACCGTTTTAAATACGGTTGATGAAAGAAAATGTATTAATAAATCTACACGACACGCACGTAAGAAGACGCTAAAAACGTGAACATTATACTTTAGATTTGTGAAGTAGAGCGATAAACGTTCCTACCGGACCGGAAACCAACGGGCAAAAACAGCGACGTCATATCCGTTCAAGCGATTTTATTTTCAAAATAAAAGTGCTTGTTTTAAAAACGATCCTCATTCAGTAAAAATTGAAACACTCATTTTATGTTTGGTAATACATTAAAACACTAAAACCACCCTTTATTTCTGGAAGTAATGTTCCCTGATACAGAGTACAAATATACATTATGCAGTCCAGAGCTGTAAAAGAAGAAAAACACCTTAAATCAATTAGTTTTTATTTTCTCTTTTTTACCAACCAATAAAATGTAAAGATGCCTTCATATCTATCTACAGTTGGGATATTTTGTCAATTCTTAAAATCTGGAACTTTCCCCCTTTGCCATCTTCGCTGGCAGAGTATGTAGACAAGAACTAAATAAACACATACAAGGAATTTGACTGTTTCTTGTTTGCTCTAAATGTACTTACACAAAAATAGAAATAAGCACAGCAAAGATAAACATAAATATTTTGCTATTATGTACACACAAGTAGGTAAAAGAGGTGATACATACATATAAATAAACAATGCATCAATGGACAACAATTTGTGTCTTTGTACAAGTGAGGCTCTTTCTTTAAATTGCAAACAAATCAACTGTTGTATAAAACTCTGAATTCCTCTTGTTCTTGCCCCAAAACACGTTTTTAGGTAAAAATAATAAGAAACTTTACCAACTGGAACATGGATTTTCTAAGTCAATAATTTCATACTGCTACAAAAATTACATATTGGTTTAGGAATAAGAGTAAAACGTTTAAACAAAGTTTTAAAAAACCTTTTATGTGTGGAGAAATTCCTCTTATTCAGACTGACTTTGGCTCTGTGTAAATAAAGTTTTGTTTTTTCATTTATGAACCGTCCCATCCAATATATCTCAACAGTTTTTTTTTGGTAAGTAATTTCTATTTTCTAGTTTAATGAAATCAAACTCTTCCTTTAAACTTTTTTACAAACTGAACCAACACGAAGAGGAAGATCCTGGTAAGATAACTTTTATTATTATTTATTTTAAGATTTAAAAAAAAATCATATTATGGGACTTTATATCTAAATATGAATATCTATAAATAAATTAAATATATTTATATATCTTTGTTACAGTCGATGTGTTTTTGTTTTACATTAAGTGTTTAGGAGTTTTATTCTGAAAAAGAAAACATCAGCGTCATATTGCGTTGCTTCCGGGAGTGACGCTGATGTTTATGATGTAGCGCAGGCGCTGATTGTTTGTTTGGCGACATGTGAGAGATTTAAAGAGTGAAAACGGAGTTAGATTTTAGTGAACATGCTCGTTAAATGTCAGATACACCAGCTTGTCTAACGTCACACTCGTGACAGTGACGTTAGACTGAGAAGGAAGAAAAACGCATCACTAATTATCCTCCGTGTGAAACTGCTGTTCTCCTTCCTGGAGCGGGTTCCGTGGCCCCCCGGTCCGCAGCTGCAGGATCAGCAGGGACCGGATCTCTGGCTGCAGGCGTTCTGCTGCTGACTGGCTGCCTCTTTGTTTGGGTGAGTGTGTGTTGAACCTGCTCGTGCTGCAACGATTAATCGGACTGTCGTCGACTGTTAAATTAATCGGCAACTATATGTATGATCTGTTTGAGTCACATTTTACAGACAATTTCTGCGATTCCAGCTTCTTAAAATTTAATGTATATTTTCTGGTTTCTTTATAATAATAATAATATTAATAATAAAAAGCTTTATTTATAGAGCAGTTTACAAGGTAAAGCAAGGAAACACTTAAGAAATTAAAATACAGTTCAAAGAAAGTGAAAAGAGTTCACTGACTCAGCCAATGACAGTAATAAGACATTTGATCTTCGGCTTTGGGAAACTCTGGTTGACATTTTAGACCAAACACAACTGGAAAATAATCACAATGAAAATAATCGTTAGTTGCAGCCCTAAGTCTGTGGTTTGTAGCCAGTGAAAGTCGCGACATCTCAGATGTGAGGATTTGCTGCTTTTCTCTGTTTAATGTCATTTTATCCTGAATACCTTTTTTGGCTCAGGCAACTTGTGATTATTAAGATTATTCTGACTGTCTGTTTTATAATTTTGACTTTTTATCTCATAATTCTGACTTTCTATTTTATAATTTTGACTTTTTATCTCATAATTCTGACTGTCTGTTCTATAATTTTTACTTTTTATCTCATTTTGACTTAACACCAACATTTTTAAGTTTTCATTAAATTTTTATTTGTCAGAAATGGGGTTTCACTTAAATGTGAATATGATAAACATGAAGTTTAAACACATCGTCCATCCCTAACTGGATTTATTCATAATGTGATTGATTGTTAGCTTCACCCACAGCCACACAAGACTTAAACCTAAATACGGTTTTACATTAACAAACTTTACATCAGGAAATGATCTGATAACAGAATAATAAGATGTAAAGAAGAGAAGACCTGTAGCTGGTTAATGAGGCCCCAAGAGTTTACTCACGCTGATGATGTTATGAATCAAAGAAGCAAGCAAGTCCTCCCATCTGTGAAGCTCTAAACCAGCGACTGATTATTTGCTCCCCTGGTTGTTACTGATTGGCCCTGATGAACATTTAATTATGCATGAAGAAGGGCAGGAGTTACATTCTTAAACCAGGCGAGAAAACCTCATTGAAATCATGTCTTAAGACTTCAAGAAGAAAGCTGTGTTATATACTCACTTTATCCTACTCCAATATTTCATAAGCACGATTCATGGTGGGACATCAGAAACATGTGCAGCTCATCTGTGTGGTCGGCACACTAGTGGGAGAAGAAGAGAGGACAATAATTAAGTTCTGCCCGTAAAATAAAAACAATCTAATAAAAAAACTTAGCCTGGATAGTAAAAATAGAAAAAGTCATAAATGAGAATATTTTTTTCAAAATGAAAACCTGGATAATTAAAAATTTCAAGTCAAAATTCTGAGGTAAAAAGTCTAAATGAGAATTTAAAAAGTCATTATGAGGGAAAAGAAGTCATAATTATACAGCAGATAAAAATACTTCATTTGCTTGCTTCACATGGGATTGTACTAAGCAAACACAGCTGAAAGGGTTTTTAGCAAAAGGCTTAAGCAAGTGAAGAATTTCGTCTGTTGTACGGCATGTTTAAAGTAGTCTGCAGTGTACTCAAATATCAACCATGAAATTAAAACACAGAGACAAAACTACAGGAATAACAGTCAGTAATGTTTTAGATCTAGACTTTTTATACAATGTGTTTATTAACTGTTTTTACCTTTAACATGTTAAACATCTAACACATAACATCTGCATTTAATGCCCAGTCTGGAATGGCTGCTGTGAGTGTTGCAAACCAGCAGATGTCGCTGTGTTTGCTAAAGCTTCAAATGTTTTTCAGCACCAATAGAAAGAAAGGTTCATAAGACCAACCTGCCCTTTGCTTGGACGTGGTAAAACATGAAAGCTGTGGACGGTGCTCCTCAGTCCATCTAGAATAAAATATTAAGAGAGAATCTCCCGTTTACAGTAGCAGTGTTGAAAAAAGAGAGGAAAGCCCCAAAACCTTATAATAGCTTTTATGTCCATACACACAAATGCACAGGGGACACTGGACGACCGGACGGCCGGACGACCGGACGACGCTCCACGGTTCCTCTGCATTTCTTGGTTTTGCCTCAGAAGAGTTTTCTATTGGATCAAGGTGCGGGGATTGGGCTGGCCACTCCATTACGTTGATCCTGTTGGTCTGGAACCACGATGCTGCTCGCTTACTGGTGTGTTTGGGGTCGCTGTCTTGTTGAAACAACCGTTTCATTTCCTCTTCAGCATAAGGCCCCATGACCTCATCGAGTCTTCTGATGTCTTCAAACTGGTCCATGATCCCTGGTTTGCGATCAACAGGCCCGATGCCGCAGGATGACAAACATCCCCGCACGCCACCGCACGCCTCCGCACGCCGCCGCAGTGGACTGTAGGGGGGTCGTCTGCGGCCCCATAGACCCCAAAAAGAACAATCTTGCCTCTTTAGGTCAGTCGACGCGTTCTTTGGCGAACCTCTTCAGCACGTGTCGTGGGACTTTGCGGGGGCTTCACGTAGGCGTCTTCTAATTGTTGCAGCGCTTACAGGAAACGTTCGACCCTCTGATCTCCCTGGAGCTGATCTTTTTCCGGCTTTGGGTGGTAGTTTCCCTTTTCTTCCACGTCTTTCTGGTTTTGAGATCATTTTCTGCACTTCTTTATATTTTCTTCCCTCTCCAATCAACTTTTGAATCAAAGTACGCTGTTCTTCTGAACAACGTCTGGAACGAGCCATTTTTCTCCGACGATCAGAGAGAAATGCACGACAACCAGCCTGTGCGACATTTGCAGCCTTCGTCCTTAAATAAAGGCGTCCTGTTTGACACCACTAATTAAAATCCACACTGCTATTATTATTTTGAACTTTCAATTAATGATTCAGTTACAGACTCTGCAACATGCATGCAGTGACTGCTGAGTCGGTTGGTTTTCTGTTACTCTACTTCACCTACTAGTGACTTATTTGCCATGTAGGAATCTAATTTGTACCAAAAACAGTGATTGGTCTGGTTAGTGATTCCTCCATCTCCTGGTTCAGCTCTGCAAGGACTGCTTTGAATATGTAAGGCTAAACCACACACAGCAGTATCTGATGATCACTGCGTTTATGTGTTTTAAAATCACTTCATGTTATCCAGACGAGCTGCTGAACATGTTGGTGCTGGTTCTGATAGAAAGGGCTCAGAACAGACAGTGGAGTCAAAGCAGGAAAAGGAAGACCTACTTTATGAATATTGAATAATGTTACGGCTGATTGGTGTAATTTTAAGCTATATTTGAACGTAATGCTTGTTGTTTAAGAAGTCTAGAGCGTCTCTGGCCCCTCCTCAAACCTTACGTGGTCATTACACCCCTCCAGACCAGTTATATGTAATAGATGAACGAGATATTACAAACTGAATCAATTTTAGCATTTAAATTTTTACATTTAAAGTTTCACAAAAAATAACAGTTAGGATGTGGTCTTTGCACCAAAGCAAAGGTGTTCCTTCATCTGTAGGCCGGGGCGTCTCTGCAGCACCTCGGTGCTTCAGTTACAATGCAGCTGCTGCCATTTGGCCGCATTGCAATCTGATTATTTGTTCAGCTTTATTACTGATGATGAAGCTGCTGGTGGAGGTAAAACTTTGTCCAGAAGATGGCGCCACAGAAAAGGCCAGAACCAAAGGAAGTACCGAAAAGATGGTAAACCAACTAATCATTTAAATTAAAGGTGTTTCTTCCTTTTGTGTACAAAGGGGGGAAAATGTCTTTTGTTCTAAAACAACCCAGAAGGCTGTTTAGATTTAAACTGTTCAGCAGCGACCCGGGACTGCTGGGCAGCACTGAAACACATACGACCAAAAAACACAAGTTACAGCAACTGAAAATAAGTGTAATATTTAATAAATACAATCAAATACTTCATTTACAATTTAAATTCAGATTCATGAAAATATAACTTGGTTAAAATAACTGAGAAGAAGAATTCAAACTATGTATTTCTCCAAAGTCATGTAGACGGAGGTTAAATATAGTGTTGTAGTACTCGAGACCGGCCTTAAGGCCACTTTTTGATGGTCTCGTCTCGGACATTGAGGACTCGGGATTTTATTTCAAGACCAGTCAAGACCATATCAATAAATTGCTATTTGTAACAGAATATTGTTGTTGCCTCCCAGATCCCTATCTTTTATTTTTTTTTCCTTTATTGCAATTCAAAAGCAGGTACAAAGTGCAAACATAGACCAGTGGTTAATATATAAATAAAATAAAAAGAAAGAAAGTAATCAGCTGTTACATATATGAGAGTCTTTAAGGCTTTGGGGTTTGAAGAGTGCTGAATAGTTTGTATGTGTTGTTGCAATTCACCCATAAATACTTTAAATAAAGGTTTGCTAAAATAATGAAGAGATTAATGAGATAATGTTGTTTTTGTTTTAGAATGCAGACCTCATCTTTGTAGAGCAGAGAAAACTGGGCAGAAATGTTACAGCTAAGATGTTGTGCAAAGTGTCTGTTTGTTTCACAACGGAGTCAATTCATTTCTCAGTCTTTACAAATAATATTTTGTCAGGTAGCATCGATGGAGAAGTTTGAGGTCCAAACCTTTTTCCACGGGATATTTGAAACAAATCTCCCCCAGTGCCAGATCCCGATCTGCACACACACAAAAGTGGTCCTCTCCGTCAAAGAAGGTTACCGCAAATGTGCCTGTTCGTAATTACTCCTGTGTTGTTGTCTAGAGGCCGACCGATTTCTCATTTAGCAGATATCATCGGCCGATATAAGCTACCTGCAGGTACGTCTGCATCGGCGTTTATAACAGCCGATTTACGGGGATTAAAAAAGAGAAACAGAGTCATGAGTGTTGCATAGTTTGTCCACCAGATGGCAGCTCCACAGAACAGAACATCAGCTGAGCGCAGTGACCGGCTCCTGGTTGGCTTCACACCCACTCTGTCAATTACAGGACTTAAATAATAATGAGTCCCAATCCAGGTGAACCTCGTTAAGCATTCAGACGTTACACCAAAGGACTTTGCATGATACACGTTACACTCAGGGAAGTATAAAATATGTATATTAAGTGATTTTCTCAATCAAGTCCCAACATTAAGTCTCACCGCAGAGACGCAGTTTCGATCAACGTTTCAAATCAAGGAAGGAAACTCGAACCGTTTAATGAGACTTTAACTACCTGTGAAATTAAAGCATCAACTGGTTTGAGTCAGAGTCTCTTCTGGAAGGTCCGACCTTTTCGTTTCCAGCAGCGAAAAGAAAATCAAACTATTAGTCTTCAGGTTTGAAGCTGCATTTAAGAAGCATTTTATTTTTAAGATGAGAGACTTTATTGATGCCACACTGGGGAAATAAACTCAGGACATTGATATACAGGACAGGTAGTAAGACAGTGAGTATAAGAAACAACTGACTTGAATAGTTGTTATATTTTCAACTCATCCTGCAGCAAAAGTGTTTTGGGGGGAGACTGACAAAGTCTTGCTGCTAGTTCTCCGGCGTCGCCAGCGCAGTGTTTTTACCTGTGGACAGCCGAGACAGTTTCTCATTTGTTTTTATTTTTAAATGTCAGGTTTTTTTACATATAAACTCCCTCTTTTCGTCTCCCTCAGGTCTTCAGTAACATCTGGTTGTCCACGGCGAGTCTGGCGATCTTCATGCTGCTTCGTTTCCTGGTTCAGGAGGTTCAGTCGAGGATCCGCCGCCGCCACGACTACCTGCGAGACCCGGTCAGTGGATCAGAAAAATGTCCCATCACTAGTGCTGGAGCTGGAGATGCACGGCTCCTCTCTTCGTACAGTAAAGAAGCCAAGTCTCAGGCCGGTGGAAAGAAATGTTTCCTGAAGGCCAGAGTGGCCTCTTCACTGCTGAGCCGTGTTTTCTGGGTACAATTTAATGAAGCTGCCAGTTGACGACCTTCTGAAACTAAACCCTCTTTCTGTTCTGGTCAGAGCCCGTTTGCGCTGTCCTGTGAGGCGAGTAGAGCACAGCATTGTACTAGAAACTTCAGTTTGTTGGCGATTTCTGGAATAGAGTAACTTAATTTCCCAGAACGAGAACAGACGCGTTTGAAGTTCTGTGTTCCTGCACGTTCTGTAATGGAACCCACGGCCGCTGATGCTCCAGATACTCAACCAGTCTGTTGTTAAGCTGCGCTGCCATGATTGCAAAATGTTTTTCTAAAGATCAATTAGCTTTTTAAAATAACAGCCTTGGATTAGCATTAGAGCACAGGGCTGATGGCTGCTGATTACAGGCCTCTGTAGATGTTCCATCACAAATTAGCAACAACTCTTTACAACATTAACGATGTCTGTTCTCATCAATTTGATGTTTTGTTTTTTTTAATGGACAAAAAATGTGTCCAAACTTTTTATTTTACTTTTATAGGCAAGGGTAGATAAAGAACAAGAGCGGATAGAACAGGGGTCGGTGTAAAACGGCAGCTTCGTTCAGAGAGCAGTTGCTGAAGCAGCGGGAGCGAACAGGCTGAGCGTCTCGCCGCCACCTGTCGCTCGTCGTCAGAGGCTGGAACGGAAACGATCAAACAAACAAGAGCTTGACGTGATATGATGTCTGTGAAGTCAGCAAAGTCTCGCTTTAACCTGACGTCGTCTCTCCAGGTTTCCCGTAGCGTCTGCAGATGAGCTGGCAGCCGCCGACCGCGTCGACACGGTCGCCTCTTCTTCAGAAGAGCTCTGAGGAGTGTGGTAATTACAATCTGAGCGTTCATTAGTTAGTTAAGAGCTTAATGCACAAACATCTAAATAAAGGAAAAATATCTGCGACTCTAAATTATTGAGACACACAATAATAATAAAAGGATGTTTATTTTTCATGCACAAACCGCTGACTTTAGTAAGACTGATAAATACAGATTAGTTTTAGTCTCAAGTATTATTTTTAACAGAAAGTATTTTTGCTGCTGGCTCGAACAGGACACATCATGTCCGACACGCTGGATGTCCCTGAACGCCGGTGAAGGACGTGTGGAGGCCAGAGAGGCGGCCGCCGGCCCTGGAGTCGCCACTCAGCCGCACATCAACCACTTCTTCCTCTTTGATGGTGAGACATTAAAGTACATCTCTCTTAAGCTGCTTTCATCAGTTCCTCTGCTGCTCCGTTATCTTTTGTATCGGGACATTAAAGGTTTGTAGCGCCATGTTGTTCTGAGAGAACACAAGTGTTTGATGGTGAAAATAGAGACACAGCTTTACTATTCTTAGATTAAAGTTTGTCCTTTTTAGGACATCTCATCTGTGCATCAGTCCAAGTCTCAGCTGTGCTTTGATGATGGTTCCACTGTGACAGCATGTTAAAGGAAAAGTTCAGCTCTCCAATAATCAGTATTTTCTCTTCTAAAAGGGAATCTAATGACGGTGCTGTCAATATAAAACTAAAGCCAGCCGGTCATTAGCTTAGCTTAGCATAAAGACAGGAAGCAAAGGGAGACCGCTAGCCTGGCTCTGTCCAAAATTAAACCAACATCACATATAAAGCTCACTAATGAACAAGCGTCTCATTTAGTTTAATCCGTAAACAAACAGAATATCTCCCAAAAATGCTGAACTTGCAGTATTTTTGCACGCTTAAACAAACCGATGCATGTTAACACGCTGATGCTAAGCTATGTGTGATGTTAGCATATTCATGTTGCAGTGTCGTGTAATGCTCCATCCACAGGACTGTCCACCTCCGACAGTGATTAATACGTTTATTTATATTTATTGTATAACTGATTGATACTTCAGTGTTTGAGTTAAATCGATTCTGACTCCGTGAATGCAGATGTAGTGTAAAAGCTTTGAGTGGTCGAAAAGATGAGAAAGGCGCTACACAAGTACGGAGCATTTACTTTATCAAACAGGGTGTTATATTGTTAGAAGTGTGTGTAAACCAGCTGCACTGTAACAAAGAAACTTCACTAAATAACTAAATATCACCACTAAAACACCAGGTAGACTTTCAGCTTAAGGACTTCCAAATGTTATTTATGTTCTTTGCTAATAAAAAAAATATATAAAAGATTCAGTACGACATTAATGAGACTCTGAGCTTTAGAAATCTGGATGTTAAAGTTGTGTGAATGAGTAAATACAGTAGTTCTGGGTTGATAGTGAATTTTATTTGGTGTTATTTGCACAGTTAATGAAACGTAAAAACATGGACGACTAAAATTAGATTTGATCAATGAAGAAGAAAAATACAAATCTGTCTTTGAACCAAAACATTCTGGATTTGCCAGAATGTTTTATTCTTCACGTCGTACTTCAGCAGAGTGTTTCCTCTTTCGCCAGGTCTTTGAGCAGCTGGTCATACAGACGACTCCTCCGCCTGAAGACGCCGGCGAGGTGGTGGAGATCCGGTTTTCTACGTCTGAGGAGCGGCAACAGAAACGAGCAGGTGCTGAAAAATCCACTGTGGTAGATTAAGTTTACCTGTTCTCACCGATGAACACAGTCTGAAAACAATACATGAAGTTAATGTTTTACTGCCCTTTAAAGAGTTAAATACAGAATAAAATATTCTCTACAAGCTTGTAACAGCGTAGAAGGAAGGTGAAGGGAGGGCGAGAACTTTATTATTTTAGCACGTTCACAGCCTGAAGCCTTCAAAAAGAACAAAAAGTTTTTATTCTTCAAGTTTTCCTGTACACTGAAATTCTTACTTTGCTGTCCACATCAAATGCCTACAATAAAAATGAATAGAGGTATAAACATATATAAACAGCTCCACATGATATCGCTCATTCTTTAATGTCCTCACTCAGGTTTAAACACACCTGCACATTCAGTTATGTACTCAGTGTTCTAGTACATGTTGAATACTGATGCTGTTAAAGACCAAAATGTTTGTTATCAAATGCAGCGTCAGACTTTAAATTTAACAGCCTGACGGGTGGATCAGTAGATAAGAAAATGAAACCAGACATTAGCTAGAACACACTGATCTAACAAGGTGTTGTATTAGTGTATAAACCAAAGAAACATCTTTATTAGTTTATTCTTCAAAAGAGAGATTACTGTACTGGTGTTAATAAGACTTGCTGTCGAATGCTTGGTCAAACTAGTTGAATTAATTCGATGTTGGTGACTTCAGTGTAGAGCAGGCTGTTTGCTCATGGACGGGATATTAGTGATGGCTCAGTCAGTGAGTTGCTGTTGTAACGTCAGCTGACTAATCGCACATGAATTCTATGTGTGAATGTGGCAAATTCTCCTAAATCAATGGTTCAAGCAAACAAACAAATCTGCCTGAATGACGTAGTTTATTTTTCCCACTGTGAAATATCCTCCTTAGAACACATAAACAGTCTTTAGTTATCAAATTTAAAGGGCTCCTAATCAAAAATGTTTAAAACAAGGACAATATCCAGAACAAGTGAAGAAATATACGTGCAAACTTTTGTAAAATAAAAAACACAAGTATTGCTTCTGTTAAATATTATTGCATCTGTCTGTAGGTGTCAGAACTAGATTGGGAACAAACGTCAGTAAATGATACACAGTGACAGTGATTTTGCATATTTGAGCCCAAACACCTGCACTTGCACCTGGTGAGGTTTCTTTTTTCTAGATGTGCAGTTTTTAGATTTACCTTCTTCCTCCCAGGCAGAGACACGACGCAGCGATGGATTATCTATCTGCACGGTCTTATCCGTCAGAGTTACTGTACATTTAATGGACGTTTGGTTTCCGCCGGCAGTGTCTGGATTTTTAAATCTCACCTCAAAATCCATTTTTATGTTTCTCCTTTCCTGCATCGCCCCTTAGTTTTGATTTAATTCACTCTCTCGTCTTCTTTTACTGCTTTAATTCTCAATATTTGTCACAATATTACTGTTTTATTCTTTTATATTGTTATTTTTATGGCTTTCTCTAAGGTGACAATGTTTTTTATTGTATTTCCTCCTGAAAATCACCCTTCACACTTCAGAAAGTGCGGTAGAAATTCAATATTTATATTTTTTTATTGCTAGCATTACATGGCAACAGCAGCTTCAGCACCCAAGACTTTAGTTCAGCTAAAAAAGGACAGAAGCTGCATTCACGAGTCAGTAACGTTGGGTAAAGGAATATTTGACAAAACTATTAGTTTTGTTAAAGCGTTTGCTAGTTGTCCTCACGGTGGTTTTAACTGCCAAGTGTTAACACAACCCACAATTACTCCAGCTGAATGAACCCAAAGTAAACATTTTGCTGTGATTTAATTGCAATAAACGGATCAGACTGATGCTGAAATAACTACAATATGATGCAGATTTATTAAACATATGGATTGATGCTTTGTCAGGTCTGTCAGCAGGACAACAACTTTTAAAATGTTTGTTTTCTGAGTGGAGTTTGGATCAATCAGGGCTACGCTATGCTAACCTGTTCACAGGAAAGTACAACGACAGCTGGAATAAAGTTACAGACATGTTTTCTGAACTCACCAGGTAGTTCAGCCTCCTCGCTTTCTTTTCTCCAAGTAACGTCCGGTTTTTATATAAATATGAAGTCGTAGTCCGACAGAGCTCTGGGGGCCGGCCGACACCAACAACAACACTGGAAAATGCACGGAAGCTGCTGAGAAGCTCCAGTGAAGATAAATCAAGTTGAAATCCCAAAAACTAAAGTAAAAATCTAATTTAATAAAAGCAGTTAACTCTGAGCTCCTCCTGCGAGTAAACGGCGTAGCTGTCAGAGCAGAATCCAGACCGACTACGGGGGGTTTATTGGTCCAAAAGTCTATCTATCTATCTGTATAAATCTAACACACGTTATTTATTTATTTATTTATTAATTATTAAATTTAGTGTGTATAGATATACATTAGCTCACATCGTCGGGCTCTAAATTAAACATCATTAAACTTCTAACCAACTCCATCAGTACAACAACAGTCACGTCATCCTCACCCGCTGCTGCAAACACTTCCTCTAATAATCTTTTCATTCTCCAATTTATTTCACTCTAGTTTAAAGTCGACACAAAGAGGAAATAGTCGCTACCTTTTTTGGCAGGCTTTTAATTTGAAATGTCTACAGGAAGCATCGAGCCTAACTGATGGCGGCTTAACAGTGATTGGAGAAAAAGGATTAATTATGATTGAAAAGAGTGGTGAGTAAAACGTGTCTCTGTCTGAGGGAAGTAGTTCTTATAATGGATTCATCATGTGAGCGGTTAAAGTGCGGCTGACTACACCACGCCGCTGGTTCTTTGTACATGTCGGTTATTAATTATAAATTTAGCAGTAAATCCCTGTAGAGCAGTGGAAAGGTCCTTTACCTCTGAACTTTGCTCTCTGTGCAGGGACTATCCGCTGAAAACAGCGAGGTCATCGCCTTCAATCCCGCGACCCTGCGGCGAGAAACATTACAGAGGCAGTCTGACTCCGCCCACTGAACACAAACAGGAAGCTGGTATAAAAACAAATATGCGTGACATTGAGCGGTGCAGGGAACCTATTTGGGAAATGTTGCAGATTTCAGCTGGTTATTTGTGAGGAGGAAACAAACTGCACAGGTCAGAGCGCCGGCTGTGCTGCAGGTTAAACGCCGTGTCAAAGTTAGTTTGGAAATGTAGCAGCTGGATGCACTTTGACTGAACTCCTATTTTAACGCCAGTAGCTTCAGCTGCTCCTCCAAAACATCCTGTGGCTGAATCCACGGCGGATCACTCGGTTCTAATGTAGCCGCTGAACACAGGAGCTGCCGCTCTGTAGGATGTGAGCACGACAGACAAACTGTAAAACAATTAATTGATTAGTTGTCGACTCTCGATTCGTCGGGTTCAGTCTTTCTAGTAGAGAGATTGAAAATCTCTGGGCTGGGGGCAAATCAAGAAATTTGAGTACGTCATCTTTGGGAAACACTGAAAAACATTTTATAAACTACTAATTGATTAATCAAGATTTACTTAAAAATCCCCGGCATGTTTGTGTTGACTGTATTTTGTCCCTGAAAGTAAAACACTGGTGCTTCATTTATGGTCTCTAAACCTGCGTACAGAATTTACTTTGTTCTTTTATGTTTGTTAGAGCTTCTGTCCTTTTTTAGAAGACAAACATAAAAATGTAAGAGATATATATCCTGAAAATCTGAACGAACAGTAAAAGTGTATTTAAAGGTGGACTTTTCCTTTAATTATTTTTGTAGTATTACCTTCATTCTATGACAATTTAACATGACTGATAAACAGAAGTGTTCTCTTTTTCTTAGTGTTATTTAAAAAGACTCAGGTTTTAGAATAAAAGCTCAATTTGTGTTGCATTCTTGTTTTATGATGATCTGGTCCGACTGGATCTCTTCGTTGTGGGTTTACTGGTTTTGCTTTTTGCACGTCGGCACCTTCAGAGTTTCAGCTCATTTTGTTTTTTTGTACTTCCTCATCTGTTCATGTTTACAGATTGTATAAATACTTTCGCAAATAAAAGATTATTGGAATAAAAAAAAATTTTTGAGTTTTTGTGAATAAATGTGAACACTGTATGTTGAAGCATGAACCAATTCATTCATAAATAAAATAAATAATTGTTCTGGATTATGATTATAGGATTCTGGGCTATCCTTTAATAGCCCATAATGCACTGCCAGTTAGACCTACTTCAGATAGATCGTACTACTTAAACAGCTCTTTAGCGTCTGAAGCTGTTGTGAGATCTGATTGTTTCCATCAGTTTCTAAGTTCAGCAGTCTGATTTTGATAAACCACACTAGTCTTTCAGAATCAAGTCTGACCCCCGCTGGTTGAACTCCAGCTCTCTGCTCCAGACTTCCTGTTAGCAGCAGCAGCACTGATGAGACTCTGAGCGGCGACCTCATTACTTAAAACTCTCCTCCGCCGTCCGACCTGGAGCTGCAGCCGGCACACCCAGACACATCCCGCACTGTCAGTTTACAACATGAAGATTTATGCGGACTTACCTTCACTGGCTCCCTGGTCACACGTCCCACATCCAGTAACGTCCCACTGCGAGGCCCAGGAAACACTAAGACACAAAGCATTGAACAGATAAATGGAGCAGTTTGTCCTTAACGTTGTTTAGCTCATAAAGTTAAATGTCATCTTGAGAGTTTCGTCATTCCAGCTGTGGAAAGTAACAAAGTACATTTACTCAAGTACTACACTAAAATACTAATTTGCAATACTGATTTTTTTAATTTTCCATTTACTGCCAGTACAGTTCAGAGGCAAATATTATTTAACACCTTTAGTTACTTTGCAGATTCAGATGAATGATACAGAAAATCTGCCTGTAATCATATAAATAAATTATAATTTTAGATTAAGATTTTATTAATCCTACACAAGCTAAAAAAACAAGATCCACATTTATCAGAAATTTACAAATGAATGCTTCAAAGTTTTCATCCAATAATATAATAGACACTCTGAAATGGGCTAATGTGCATTAGAGCTACAACGATTAATCTGAACTATTAAATTAAATGCCAATTTTTTGGATAATTGATTTCAGCCTCACAGCGACCACTTTGTTTATTGTCGCTTCACAGTTCATTAAGAAAATAATCAATAGATGACATTTCTTCATTTAGCTGACGCTTTTATCCAAAGCCACTTACTATTGCTCTACATGTCAGAGGTCGCACGCCTCTGGAGCAACGAGGGGTTAAATGTCCTGCTCAGGGACACAACGGTGGATGTCTCACAGTGGGGGATTGAACCCAACAAAGCCATGTGTCTTATCCACTGCGCCATCATTTAATCGACCATTAAAATGATGGTTAGTTGCAGCCCTATTCTGCGTAGTGAGTACTTTTACTTTTGGTACTTTAAATAGACCTATATTTTGATGCTAATGAAACATTTAAATGCAGTACTTTTACTCACTTGTACCAGAGTATTACCTAAACTGTAGTATTGCTTACTTTTACACAAGTTAAAGAGCCGAGTACTTCTTCCACCACTGTGCAATTGTGGCACCAAAGAGATGCATCACTTTGTGTGTAAATTTCAAATTCAGTTAAATATAATTTAGGCTCTGCTGGTGAGATGTCTTAGTGCCTTGCTCAAGGGCAGGCCACCGGCGCAAGCTGCAGAGCGAAGTTAAAACTAATGGAAACACATGCAAAAACTTTTAAATTTGACAAATGTTTCAATAAAATGAAAAAGCTAAAATCATAACTTTGAGGTAGTCTTGAGATTTTTTTGTGGTTTAAAGTCCTTTTCATGATGTGAAATAAATGTCCAGCCTCCAGCCAGCAGGGGGCAGTCACACTTCACTCCTCATGTTTCTGGTTTGAAACAAGCTGCTGAAATAATAATATTTGTCTGAATGCAGAGACGAGTGATTTCTTTTCCTTTCAGTGTCTGTCAGACATCTCAGCACCCAGAGGCCTCTCTCAGATTACAATCGCTGCAGGCAACTCAACATTATAATTTCTAATTACTGTAATTATTAGAGACGCTTCAAGGGGAGAAAAATCTTTATCTTGTTCATGTGTAGCTCTCACCAAGTCACGAAGCACAGACAAAATCTGACTGTCTTCGCACTAACACAATAACTAAAGAAAGAGTGGATGAAGTTTAGTACAATATGTCTCTTATCAGATTTTACAGACATGTACAATATTTCAAAAAAGAACTGTGAATCAGAGCCTTTTCTATGAATAAAGGTTTAAAATGGTGACATCAGAGGGGACAGTAGAAACACTGGCGCTATATAAAGACACAGT